TGTGGGTCTGCTCCTGCCCCCAAGAGCCTCTCTTTGTCACCGAGTCCACATGGCCTAGGTGTTTGACAGCCTAGATAAGGCAGCTGATAGTTTCTTTCCCTTCAAATTAGATCCCATATCTTGCCTGGCCAGACACCCCTGAAAGGAACAAGCAACCCCATGACATTCCTCCATTGACCTTCAGTTGTCCATGTGGACAACAGGAGCTGTTTAGCTAAGGTCTTTGACAGCCTAGATAAGGCAGCTGATGGTTTCTTTCCCTTCAAATTAGATTCCATACCTTGCCTGGCCAAGCAACCCCATGACATCCCTCCATTGACCTTCAGTTGTCCATGTGGACAACAGGAGCTGTTTAGCTAAGGTTTTCACTTGGTGCCCATCACCACTGAATCTGAGGGCAAAGTGTCTGAGTGTCATTTACCCATGAAAGGAGCGAATTTAAAAACCAGATTCCCATGCAGATTTACTAACTGCTGCCCCATGCTGCTGCACCCAATACAGAGGAAGCAGCATGGGGTGGCAGCAGCTCCTGTGTGCAGGGGATCTGAGCTCCCCACAGACTGAGGCTGCTGCAGGGCAGGGGGGAGGCTGTCCATGGGATGCAGAGCAGCCTCTGTCTGCAGGGAGCGGTTACCTTGGAGACTTCAAGTAAACTAGAGATTATGGCCAATTTGGTGGATTAATAAGGGTAAAGGGAATGTCTCTGTCAGAAGCCAGATTCGGCCTGGTATAATGTATCTATCACCACTAGGTTCAACTAATTCCAGAATAAAACAGACAGGTGTGTTTAGGGCTAAACCATGTATTTTAGAAATCAGTTGAGCATAACAACATCAATTAACAAATCCCACCCTATCCCTGAAGAAAAGAACGACTGACAGATTCCCATACAATAGAATAGACCTTAGAAATGAGGTGGCGATTCAGGCCTGTGACCTACAACCTCTTAGGTATTTGAAAGCCTTGAGGGAGGACTAACAGGGAGATCTCTCGGAGCAAAATCCTTCCGTCTGGAATGGATGCTGAGAAAGGAAGGGATCCTCACCTCTGTCGTGGATGGGACTCTCGAATGAAACCGCACCAGTCTGTCGACTCTGTGGGAAATCCGAAGTACAGTGGAGAGTGAAGTCCAGTTCCAAGGATACGCAACACCAGCCTTAGCATAGACACTTCTCCCATATACACACACACACAGCAGTGGAGATGATATCTAAACTAGGCCTTGGTATCTCCAAGCCACAGTACGCCGAACAAAATGGTGAATCTTCTCAGGGAGGAGGAACAGAACTTCACAGACGAACAGAGGAAGTGAGAACCACTAAAGTTCTCCTCAAGATAGGGTTATAAAGGGTTTAAGGCAGGAAAACTTGGATAGCATGCTGAGTGCAAATATAGGGGACATGCAAAATTCAGCGTGCTGAGTGCACCTGTTGACTGCGTGCGCATCTGAAAAGGTGGAGTGCACAAGTTTAGGGAGGAGTGCAAAGGTTCTCCTCAGGCTGTTTTGGCGGGAAAACCTAACTGTCAAGGGAAAAAAAATGGAACCCAACATAACCTCCATTTTATATCTTAGGTCAGGGTAACAAAGCCTGGACCCTCCATGGACAGAGGCTGCTATGTTGCAGCAGCTGCTCCTGCCCCCCACCTCTGCAGAGGGATGAGCAGGTGGCACTGCGGAGCCAGTACTGGGGGAACTAGCTTTTAAACCAGCCCCCCTCCCCAGCTCTCCCCACCTTGCTCCCTCTAATACAGAGGCAGCAAGGGAGGGAAATGCGAGTAGTCAAGATTAACCGATAAGCCTAGGCTTATTGGTTAATCATATACTCAACTATTCATTTACATCCCTAGTGTGAAGACAATCTCCCTTCTTAACAAAAGCTTGACTTTTTTGTTTTAATTCAATCTAAGGCAGCATGAATGTTGGCAAGCAGGGGGTAGTTTCCTCTAGTACTAGTAGAGTTCTAGTACTAGTAGAGTAGATACAATCCCCTTACTATGGGCTCAGTCTTAGTCAAATGTGTTTGGTAGCAGTTTAGTAAGGGGAATAAGCTACATCAGTGTAAGGTACTTTTATGAAGATACTATCAAGGGAAGGGGTGGTTTCTCCACCTCTTGATGTCTTCCACTAAAGACAGAAAGCTGTTCTGGAATATACTTTGATCCAAACCTCACTACTGCACCAGACAGGAAGCCTATGATGTGCAGTGGCATCAGATTCAATGATCAAATGGTCTCTTCTGGCATTAAGTCTATACATCTACATAAAACTGAGTATGGCACATTGAGCAGCTTTTGATGTCTTCATGAGCAGACTGTCTTACTTGCACCTGCTGTCATTGACTCAAGTCACTGTCTCTCAACTTCCTTTGACCAATAAGTTGAGGTGCTGCAAAAGGCCTTTGTGATGTCACTGTCACATCCACTCCTCTCTTGCAAGGCTTAATGTCCTGCTCTTGGGCCAGCCCCTTTGGATGTCTGAGCTGCTCCCATATTGGACACTGCTTGGACAGCCCCAGGAAGCTGGTCCCAGGCACTAGCCCGGAGCAGCAGGAGCATCTGCAGGAATACCCCTTCCTTGGCACCTATATTTTAGGGGTATTTTTAGTGAGTCATGGACAGAACACAGGCTGCTACTTTTTTATTGCCATGACCTCTCCATGACTTTCACTAAATCACAAGACGCCAAGAGAAACCTGGCAGTTTTCTTAGAAAGTTTGTTCCTGTAGTTAGTCATCTAAAAATCTAAGTTAACTTTGAATGTCTGGCTTCATCAAGACAGTCCTATAGTACTTGTTGTTTTCTTTTCAGGGAAGTGTGGTTAAGCATAGCTCCCCTACAGCCTTTCCAGAGTATACTGTTTACCATTCTGTATCACAGGACTCAAGTTTCAGTAAAACACAGTTGGTAAGATTTTCAAAACCAAGAGGCATTAAAGAGTCTAAGTTGAAAATTTCAAAGATAAAAATGGCAGCTTAATTCCCATTGAAATTAACAGTAATAGGCCTAACCACCATTTCCATTTTTGAAATATTCTCCCCTGAAGTGTCATTGAAAGGGTGTTTGCATCCATCATTTTAAATCAATAGGGACTACGCAAATGCGAAAATTGCATCCTTTGATTTTCCAATAAAATAGACACTTGCACATAAATCCCAGGTTTCATTACAAAACTTTATTAAAAAGATTCACCTTACTCTTCACTTTTAAGTGCAGACCTTCCTCAATTAAAAAAGCTTTTGTACAATAATCTAGAGCTGGTTAATCTGAGTCATAATACAAGTAGAAATGGAGTTTAAACTGGCAGACTAAATCTGCAATTAGGAAAGCTTGGGTAGTGGTTATCACTCAAAATTTGGGAATATACTCTAGGTTGCTACATTATTTAAATTATCAATTTTTCATCTATATAAAAACTCAGTACATTAGTTACATAATGGTATTGCTTAATGTGACTCTGGCCTTCTGATACGTTTCTTGGATTGACCTGAGAAAGGAGTCAAGCACTTCTTTTATTCCCAGAAGTCTCTTAAAGGATCTGGTGTTCAAGGAGTCTTTTTGGCTCGTAGTTTTTCCAATGTTTTCTGTAAGCAAAAACAGATGCTTAAGTATCTAGCAAATTGATTTAGATTTGAAGTTCCTAAATAACAGTTGTATGAATAAGTTAAAAGCTTAATAGGGAAGGCATTAAGATTCAATGCAGTATTGAATACATGCCACTACAGCAGATTGGATTAGGCAGACAATGAGATATTTAAAAAATGGTATTCAGAATGCTCAAATACATCAGTGTATATTGGCACCAGGCAATATTATGTAAATAATGGAACAAGCACAGTAAATATTATTATTATTCCCCATTCCAGAAAGTCAGGAAGTAGATGCTCTAATGGGCAATAATTTTCATTGGGGGCCACTCTAAGATTTTGATAAGTGATCAAGGGCTGCAGTTCTATGGAGGACGTGGGGGTCAGGGATGGTGGATGGGGTGTAGGAGAGGGAGTTATGATTAAAGATGTTAAAGACTAGTCGACTATCCGATAAGCAAATGCTTATCGGATAGTCAGTCAACTAATTAACCCCCCAGCAGCAAAGGAGGGGGGGGAAGAGTGGGCACTTCAAAGGGCAGCGCCACACTGCTGCGGCACTGCCCCCTGGTTCAGCTGTGAGGTGCTGCCCCTTTTTGCATTTTGAAGAGGCAGCGCCACCTGGAGCCAGGGGTCAGCTGGTCTGTTGTGCATAGTATCCCTGAGCTGTCCAAATCAAAAACCACAACACATCACTTTACACTTGCAATTCTATTTTTTACTTTTGTTAAGAAAAAATAACATGATTACATGGTCTGGTCAATTAATAGTAAGGCCAGTGCCAAAAAACATGTTCTGAAGGCACAGAGGTTCCTGGAATGCACAGGTAACTCTTTGCTAGTTTTCCAAGCCTTGGAAAATGTGGGGCATTGATCTTCCACCATTTCAGTGGACTGCATTCCAATGAAGGGCAAGGCTCCCTGAAGTAATTATCTAGTTCATTTTCCACAGTATTGTCCTCATCAGTATCCTTTTCAGTGTAACCTTCACCTAGAACAGTGGTTCCCAAACTTTTCGGCATCACGCCCCCTTTTTGAAAAACCCTCAGACACCCCCCACCCCCCCAGCACAGCAGCACTTG